TTTTTTAATTAAACTTAAAAAATTTAAGTTTTATATTGAGCCAAAAAGCGTTCGGAGACTTTTGGCGGGGGTCTGTATTTTGTGAAATATTTTTAAAAAAAGTAATTTGTAATAATTTACCCGAAAATTTCCCATGAACATATCGTTATAGAAGAATTTTTTAGCGTTAAGTAAATTTCATGTACATTTGATTCAAATTGTTTTTTGCATTGTTCTTAAAAGAACATCGAAATCCAAAACTCACTAATCACTTCCGTTTTGAAATTGAAAATCTTTTGAAAAAGAACTTTCATTTAGATGCGCACTAGATTGGTTGTGGTAATATGATTTGTTTACAATAAAGGGGCTTGTGGTTATAAGGATATGTTTTATTTGTTTTCAGTATTCGTTATCCTGAAATTTCATTCATTGAATTCTACATGACCTATAACTTAATCATATCTTTATATCTGATTTTGGCTTAAGTTTTAATTTGAATATTATTTGATGAATGTGTCGCGAAAAAAAAAATTGTTTGAGTTTCGTTTTTGAAAAGTGATAAATGACGAATCGAGTGCAATTCACAAATAGTACAAATAATACAGTTTTTTAATTAGATATATCTTAAAAATAACAATAACCATTTTCACTATCGAATCGAATTTATAATATTAATGAATTTTCTTATTTATGTGTATTCTTTATCTTTTTTTTTATCGTATTTTCTCATTCACATTCTCATAATATAATCAACACATACATTTAGTGCATAAAAAATAACAAAAAAAAACAAACATGACAAACAAAAGATCAATTCGTCGTCGTCATCAACGCGTTGATAACGCAGAGTCAGCATCAGCTACTTTCTCCATTTTCCATCTCTAGGGATGGTAACGGTCGGTCGTGGTTGGTCGTGGTCGGTCAACGGTCGGTCAAAGCCTTTGACCGACCAATAACGGTCACAGTTATGACCGGTCATACTATGACCATTAGCATCCATAGCCATCTCCATCATCTTCACTGAAAATTGTGCTTAGCAAAAGGCTGGATAAGCTAAAAACATCAGTAAAAGATCAAGACCATTTATTAAATAAAGAGAAATAAAATACGTTCGTTAAAAAAATTGTTATAAAACATTATTAACGAATATTCAGACATAAAAAAAACTTTGATGATACCAGAGTTGCTGACACTTGCTACTTTATCAAGGGCGCAAGGAACTCCCAGACCTCAAAACGCATACATTTAATTTCGCCAAAAGGGATATATCTGCTAAATTGAGATGGTATGTCTAGAGAATCAAGGACAGTGACTTACTCATCTATTGCTTGAATTCTATGACATTATACCAAATCGCATGGTTAAAACATTCAGAGACTTATCAAAACTACGTATACAGTCCCGTTAAGAAGAACGTAATAATGTTGTTATTAATAGTAATCAAGCACTGAACATCGACAATCTCCTACCGTCGCAACTATAGAAACTACTTCTTCATCAGACAACCCCTTTATTACGCAAGATTTTAATGATGTTCCATCCTTTAATGATAATTTTGTTGAACAAGATCAAACGTCCTATATGCCGGATAAAGAAATGTATCAATCAACAAATGTATGTTCAACCACAATATCCAGCCCGGTTGTAATTTACCAACTGTCCGGGATAAAGATGCAGCAAGATACGACGACGGCACAATTCGAATTAGTGTCATATTTTGTTAAAACCACGGTTTGGCATTCTACTTCCTACGCAGTGAGCTATCAACTAACGTAATCACAATATCACCAATTTGCAAATCCATCTTTCTGCCAACGCAGAAAATTGTTCCATCACATGAAGATTTTGTCTTTCTAAGCCAACTAGGAATCGATCCTTATTAAACTTTCAACATTGACATGTAGATCATCTTTTTAAAGAATTTTTTATACAACATAAAATCAATTTTACAAGCAGAGAATATTTTCTTAATTTGAGGAGGGCCATGACATTATAAATTTTAAAGAATTTATGCGAAATCTTCGCAAATATTACCATTGTGTACGATGCAGATCGATAATTTGTTTTCAACATTTAAACAAAAAAGTTCGATATTTTGTGATATGTTGAGACATTGATTTACCAAAGTCTTTTTCAGCCTTAATTTGATATATAAAGATTCAAATTGATCCGAATTATGCCAAATTTTTGCAGAACAGTAATGACTTATTTTTATGTAAATAACGTACCGTTAATAAAAAAAACTACTGTCTACTAAGTCAATTAGAATTACATAGGATTCAAAGTTCGTACTGCATTTCTCAGGAAAAAAAGACGGTCATAAAATTTTATCATATATTAACAGTCTTCTACCATTCAACTAGAACGTTTATTGTATATAATGTTTTTAGTAGACCGAATTTTATTATATTATTAAGACTGTAATCCTAGGATCGCAAGTCCAAAATTTTACAGAGGGTGACCACGGATACCCGAACAATAAATATTTTTTGTTTATTCGCTTAGTTTACGTTATTTACACGCATATTTATAATTTAAACATTTGTTTAAGATATGAATGCATGTCAATCACGACAATAACAATAATTTTCTTTTGAACAAAATGGTTAAAACTAAAGAATTGGCGGCTGAACAATATGGGCAATTCTTTACGGCTACAAACAAGGTGATTCATATCAAAAATTGCTGACAATGTTCAATGTGGTAAAACGACTGTCCATAATATGATAAAACGTTTTGAAGAAAAATGCACAAGCCTCACTCAAAACGCTTGTTACACAAAATTCGAAACACTCAAAAAAATTCAAAGTTTCAACTGTTACAATTTGTCGGACTCTTAAAAAAGTTGGCTTACATCATGTGTTGCCCGCTCTAAACCATTAATTTCTGAAGATAATAAAAAAAAAAATGTTGACTTGGGCTTTGAAATGAAAATATTGGACAATTGCAAAGTGAAAGAAAATTGTATAGTCTGATAAATCAACATTTAGTCAATTTCGCAAGGTCGTAGTTTATATGTATGATGTACACCAGAAGACAAATTTAATCCTTCTTATATAACTTCCATAGTAAAGCACAGTTCCAGTTGAATGTTTTGTGATGATTTTTGTGGAATTCGTGTTCCTCTTTGTGAATCTGTAACAGGACAAAGATTTGCAAATGTGTTACAAAAGCATGCTATTACTTCACCTTACAAATTAGTTCCTCGCAAACAAGGAATTTTCAAGAGGATAATGCCCCACCTCATTGAGCAAAGATTGCCAATGATGTTCATAACGCCTCAAAGATTCCTGTGCTACCCTGGCCTGTAATTGAAAATTTTTGGAATAAATTTGATAAGAAAGTCGTAACTTGCTTAATCAACCCATAAGGTAAAAAATGCTTTGCGTTCATTTCCACTTGAATATATTCAAAATTTGGTTGAATGTATGTCTCGCCGAAACCAAGCATATATAGCAGCAGGTGGTTCAACAAATATTAGTTTTTTTTTAATAAAATATATTAGATATATTCGGAACAAATAAATTTTTGCTTATTCTAAAAAAAAAGTTAATTGTGATCACAGAATTTCACAGAAAATTACAAAATTTGGTTCAAGTTTTTAGCCTAATTTAGGATTTGCAATCATTGTAATTCCGGTAAACACTAAATTTGGCCAAAATTTACGAGTCGTAATGTTGGCCAACCTTGTTTAATTCCGGCCAAATCACAAAATTTCACAGAATTTACTTTTATCACACACAAAATTTTACTTTATATCACCACAAAATATCATCGTCCCTGGTCCGAAACGAAATTTTTTATTTAAATCAATAAATATAAATAAATTAATTTTAATTTTTATTATTTTATTTTATTTTTTTTTTATTTACTGATCTTATCGTACACGCGGCGTGACAAACGGAAATACTCACGTTATTAAATTTTTCACATTTCCTAAAAGTATAATGTCCTACGCTTCGCTTCGGACAATAAGTAAATACAAATAGTTTTTAAATCGTTCTGGTACCCGTGATCACCCTCCGTATAGAACCGCAGTAAGTCAAGTACCGCAAGTCCTAATTTCTATAGGACCGCAGTCCTAGATTCCAGTCCTAGGACCCAAGTCCTATGGGAGTTTCGGAACCGGACTAGGACCGGACTGAAATTTGACATCCCTATTTTTTTATCTTCCTCCATAAAATATATGTCACAACAAGTGTTACCAACTAATGTAAGACCGACCCTTACATTTTGACCTTGACTCCAAAAATGATCAATTTCACTTTTATCGGAAATTGTCAAGTGAGTTATTGAGTCCCAGTCGATCACGTAAACTCCAATTAAAATTTTTCTTTGATTTATTATTTTGTATAGTATTAATATCAACGAAAATACGTTAACGAAATTGAAATAAAATTTGCCAAGCTTATCACTTTGGATTTAAAAACCAGTTCAAGGGAAGGGTAATTTTTGTTAACGATATATTATACATTAAAAATTTTTGATTGGTCGACTAGTTGTGAAGTGACGAATATCAATTATGATACCCGAAAAGAAACTGTCACTTTAACTTTCCCACAAGAGTTTTCTTCCGGAACTACTGCTTCCCTTCTTATTGAATACATTGGCATTTTTGAACGATAAGATGGTCGGATAAATTTTTAATTTAAATATTTAAACTTTTTTTTTATATAGAAGTTTATATTAAGATAAAAGCGGAAATACAAAGAATCTTTTCATCACTCGCAAATTGATTATTGCTATAAAAAACTTTATCTTATAATATGAAGATATATGGACACAATTTAATTTGCAGCAATTGATGCTCCGAGCAGTCCCCTCATGGGATGAACCCGCAATTAAAGTAACTTTTGATGTCACTTTTATTTTACCCTCTGATATGAACACTTTAATTAAATATGAATGTAGTTAGCGAGACACAACTTAGAGATGGTAAAAAAGAAGTCAAGTTTAACGCCGTTAATGAAACCTACGTGTGTTCAATTTTAATTACATATCTTCTTCTATTATTAGTTATTTAATAGTTGGTTGCTTTCATTGTCGGTGACTTGGGTTATATTCAAGCCTAAACACCTGGGTTCGTGATATCGATCAGTGTATATACACCTAAAGGCAATGAACAGTATGGCGAATTTGCTTTTGGCGTAGCAACGCAAGTTTTAGAATAATTTATAGAAGGTAGAAAAAGGCTAATTATATTGCAATGATACTTATCGCCGGTATTATAACATTTATCATCTTTTAGTATTTGGAATTCCATATCAATTCCGGACTTTGGATTTGGTAAGATAAAATTATTTTTAGTTGTATTTTTGAGAATTGTTAATTTACAAGTAATATCATTAGGTGCCATGGAGAACTGGGGTTTAATTACGTATCGTACAGCCAAAATCCTTTTAGATCCTAAGTATTCTAATACAATTACGAAATATATTGCGTACATGCAATTGCACATCAGGTATTTAAAATTTATTCGTAGCAAATCTTGCTTGATTTACAATAATTGAAATTGTTATAGTGGTTTGTAACCTCGTAACTATGGAATGGTAACTTTCATGACTATTTATTATATTTGATACAATTTTCGATAATTTCTCAAGATAATTCATAAATTTCTATAGGTGGGATCATCTTTGGCTTAAATTCTTTCCTGATTGGGGTATTTGGTCACAGTTTGATATAGTATCTTACAAGTTATAGTTTTATATCCCTAATTTTTATACTTTTAATTAGATTCGTCACTGAAAGATTTCAAGCGCTCTTCAGCTTTATTCTTTAAATTCTGCTCAACCTATTGAACTTCATGTAAATGATAACAGGTAATTTTATGAATTTATGTGTTTGTCGCTAATAATGCTTTTCATATCATGTTTACTTACTTGTATGTTACGTATTCAGTGAAATTTCTCAAGTGTTTGATGCTATTAGTTATTACAGGGGTGCTTCTGTAATTCGCATGCAAAGTTCATTCCTGGTGAGAAAGTATTTTCATCAGGCATTAGAAGATATTTAAAAATTCATGCATTCGGTAATGTGAGTATTAACGATGTTGTTCAGTTTATGACAGGATGGACATGGATGGTGGAGTGAGCATGAATGAAATTATTGACAATGTGAGAAGACACATTTTGATTTATATTTAGATCATAGTATCCGATATTAACTGTTAAAGAATCAACACCTGAAACGTTAGTAATTCGACATCGCAGTTTCCTTTCATCAGGAGTTATTAATAATGATGAGGACACTGCGATTTGGTGGGTGCCTCTTGGAGTTGACTTTGGTCCCGACACATAATGTGATATTAAGTCATCTGTTCTCACTCAAAAGGAGTTTACATTCAGATTACCACCTAGAAAGTCCGCGCATGAAATTGGCGTTTTCCGTGTATTTATCCCCAAAGGTTATATAAATTAGGACAAGCATTTAGGGTAGGTTTTCTTGAAGTTAGTGATCGTATTGGAGCAATTGTTTACGTTGGAGCTTTAACAACTAGTCGTTTTAGGGAAACTAGTAATTTGTTGAGCTTCATTAAAGAATTTGAAGAAGAGGATAAATATATGTAAGCTAGCAATTATTATAATTATTTTTTAATGGATTATATCTTTATTACCTTTTATAAAATATATATGGCGTGAGATTGATTCTCGTCTTGGAAATGTACTTAATGTTTGGTTTGAACAACCGACACTAATTTATCAAGACTTCTAGCTTTCAACATCTTGATTAATTCTCAAATTAGGTTAGGAATATTCTAATAATGATGATTATTTGACTACATCGTTAAGGACACTTACTCTTAATATTTCAGGTGGAGCTAATGATCCGAGTACGTTAGTAATCAAACTTTTGTTAGTAGTTTATCTCATGATATTTATTTATAAATTTTTATCCTTTTATACTGTTAAGCACAGATTCGACTTTTCATTAAACAAAATGATGAATCTGCTTTACATCCTAAATTCGTGGTATTGAATTTAAAATTGTTTTATACCGCGGTGGCGGACGAAGAATATGAAGCCATATAGAAAGATTATCGTGAATCCAAAACAACAGATCAAAAATTAGACGCTTTGTACGGACTTGGTTTTAATCAGCGTGAAGAAAAGATTCGTGTTAGTTCGGTTTGATTGAAGCGTGACTCAAAAGACATTGAGGATTGGTTAAAACCTAATGGTTTCTTGCAATGATCTACCCCTCAATAATGTATTATATAAATTCATGATTTACTAATTTATGATTAGAATAATTATTTGAAATATAGAAATCGATGCAAACTTTGTGAAAACCAATTATCATACGAACTGTTAAATCTATAATGGAATTAAAAATTGTTAATAAGTGAATGAGAATTTAAATCTATATTTCTTGTAATATAATAATAAGTGATTTGCCATTATTTTATAACGATGGTATAAATCATTTGAAAGCTCGAAAATCGAAATGCTTTTAGTTCTATTGATTATCATACTCTATAATTATTTATTACATGACGTAAAACAAGAAACATGATTCATGTGTATAAAAATGGAATAAAAATATAAATTGTATTGTTTATATTGATCAATTAGAAGAGACTAACTATAAATTTTTATACAGAATATAAAAAGATTTAAAGAAATTCGGTGGTAAATTTAACAAAAATTTTAAAATTACATGGATGGTTTAATTTTCAAATAAAATTCAAGATGCTTTTGAACAAATATTATTTTGATGAATGTCTTGAAAAATTTAGAATCTATATAAATTAGGAACTTAGTTATTTTCAAGCAAAATATGAGACTTGATTCTAATTAAAAGTTTTTAATTGGTAAATTTTCTACCAAAACAAGCGGCTCCTCCAAAAAATAAGTCTGTAATAAATGAAATCTTAAAAAAAATTTTCAAATTAACAAATTTATTATTAATTCTTACAAATGTCATGATTAATATTATAATTCCTAATTCCAATTCAGATAAACGTCCTCCAAAAGAATCGCCGACGAATAAAAATATCTTATCTTTATTACAACAAATAGAGCCTGAAATTTTAGACTTTTGAATTATTTGTTTATTGATAAATTATTTCTTAAAAATAAATATTTATCAACGACGAAGAAAATCAAAGAATTATCTGTTAAGGATTCAATACCATCATCCATTGATGAAAATAAGTTAATTAGATTAAACATATAATGAAATATCATCATCTCGAATAATTTCTAATTAAAATATTTACGTAACGCTCAAATTTCTTTCAACATGATGATTAAATAATTGTTCGTTGTGGCATAAGATCTATCCAACTTGTTAAAAAGGACTCTAGTTTGTTTGGAGATACGACTGATATTTCATGCAATATTAACATACCTATGAAAATTAGTATGGGAATATTTTGCGACAATTTTAAATTTATCATATCCTTTCAAATAAGCATACCCATTAAAAAGTTGAATTCCTTCTAACAGCTCAAAAGATTTTTATGATTTCAGATTTGGACAAAATTTTTCAATAGCCAAATTTAATGAATTATAATGAAATTCAATATTTAATCCTTCGTTTCTTAAAACTCTTAGAATTTTCAATTGTGAAAAGGTAATTCCGTTAAAAACTTCAGAACATAATATTTAGGTTCCAACGAAAGTTCTTACAAATTTATGAAATCTCAAAGAAATAATAATGATAATTATTCGGTTGATCTGTCTGCTTCAAGATTGCATAGTAACTTTATTTCAGATTATTTCCATCAAATGTGTAGTTCTATTAAACTTATTGCGAAACACTTCAAATTTCGTTGTACGAAAATCAAATCCGTCACTCCTTTTGAAATGATACAAGTATAATTTCGAAATATTTTAAAATAATTGATTACACCAAGATAAGAAAGGTGTAATTTGATCTGATGAATGCCAAGTCCATTTTTGTCTTGTTTCAATATCATTAATTTGTATGACTTCATTTGAATGATTTTATTTTTTTTATTTTAGGCGACCTAGCTGTTAAATTGCTAGTCCAAAAAAAAAATTTTGTATGAGTATGGAATCAACCACTTCCATTATTTAATTACGTAGAATTTATTAATAGTATTTCAATTTTGATATTCGTGGTGAAGTTGAAATTATCCTTAAAAAAGGCATCGCTCATAGAAGACAGGACAATGATAAATAATAAATATATTGTAATTCACTATAAATCAAAGTTTAAATAAATAATTTCTGTTGGAATACTAATATAATTTTTGTAATAAATGAAAATAAATACGGTAGTTAAAAATCTATTTGTCATTAAGATACGTCACTCTTATGCGCCAGAATTAATTCCAGTCAAATGCCGTGATGCCGGCCATTTCGTGAAGGTAAATCTCTCCGCAGTTACTGCGCCATTTGAACGTTACGTTCTTGACACCGGTATTTCTATATATCCCTTGTAGGTTAACGCAAATTTAAAAAATCTTTTGATTTTAAGTTTCACGAGGTTAAGAATGTTGAACGATAAGTAAAGCTTGAATTTTTTTTTTTTTTTTTATTTATATTATTATTCGGTCAACTGAAAATGTTGATTCGGTTCAGAGCGTCATTTGATTGACCCTCACCATTTATGAACCAAATTAACACTAAATTAAAATTTATTAAAAAAAAAATGTCGACGGGAATTCCTGTTAAATTCTTTGATAAGGAATCCTGTTTTTATAATAAAAAATCAGGTTTATTTATTCCACGGTTTGAACCGATGGTTTATACTAAACTAAAAAAAAAAAGATGACTACCCCCATGTTACAAACAAAAATAATGCTGCGCCTTTATATGTCGGAAAATTTTGGATTGGCTAGAGATGGGGTGACCGACCGATTACGTGTTTGAAAAAAAAGGATTACGTTTCAGAACTTATTCAATTGTTAGTTCCTATTTCAGTTAGATGGTTAGAGTTGACGTATTCATTCCATTTGGTATTGATATATTGAGTAAATGATTTCTTTTTACGGTTTAGTTGATGTTGATTTAATTGTCGGGATCGACCGCTTTTAGTATGTCTTGAAAGG